CTTACACTAATTTTACATTTGTTTTCGTTGTTGTTGGGTACCATTGAGTCAGAAAAGACTCATAACTGACCCTCCAGTAGGTTCTCAGAAGCAGTTAATCCCCACGTACATGTCTGCCCACCCTTCTCCCTCAGAGCAGTTGGTAGATTTGAAACTCCTGTTTTCAGCTTACATATCATTGTCAATATATTATAAACTCACATAAATGATATAACATTTATTTCTAAAATATAATTTGACCTTGGCCATTTGATAATTCATATGGGAAAAATAAAATCTGAATCTTCTGTTTATAGAATACTTTTAACCATTTGTTGTTAGAGAAGCATTATATAAAACATGAAAATAGAAAATTAGTTTATAATTAATATTTGTATTTGGTAGTAAGGAGGGTATATTCTTTCTTTACTCCGTGATGCCATAGTTTATATAAGGTATTCACTTCTTCTATGACCTCTAAGTTTGTTTCTATACTTTCCTTGGAAAATCTAAAGTGTTATATGAAATAATTTTGTATTATTTTATTCTATTATATCGTAATTATTTATTGTAATCAAATTTAAAAAAAAACAACAAATTAAACTGCAAGCCAACTGGTTTAACAGAGAGAATATAAGAGATTCAGGTAATAAATAAGAATCCTCCTAGACCCAGAGCAGACTTCAAAGATTACCCTTAGCGATGACTCCTGCAAAGGGCTAAAGTGAAATTGGATTAGAATGTGGAGCAATTTATGCTCCAGGGTATTTCTGAAACAATAGAGCAATCAGATGTTAATTACAGAAAGCTAAACTCTGGATATGATCTAAAGAGAGGTATACAGCTTAACAGAGAGATCAAGGAGAGAGCAAGTCCTGCTAAAAACTTACAATCTCAGAATGACTGTGCGTATCTAAAGCTTTACCTGTAGAGTATCTTCAGAGGCATCACACTGAAATGCAAATAGCCTATATTAAAACAGTTTTTATTTCCTAGCATCAAGAAATAAAAAATCTTAACCACAAGACTAATATCATGATAGCACTGGAGGTAACATCAAGATAAAGAAATGATTTATGTCAAGGATTTAATTTTACTTGGATCTGTGATCACCACCCACAGTAGCAGCTTGAGAAATCAAAAGATGCATTGCTTTGCGAAACTCTGCTGTCAATGACCACTCTATGCAAAGATATGGAGAAAGAGAGAGATCTATCTGTCTGTCATCTATCTGTCTGATCTATCAAGAGAGAGAGAGAAAGAAAGATAGAGACAGAGAGAAAACTCTAGTGACATATAGGCATAGTATGAATTATGCTGCCAACTCTAATAATATGCAGTTCAAATCTAGCAGTCACTCCAGGGAAGAAAGGTGGGAAACTTATTTTTTTTTTTTTTAAAGAACTCAAATTACATTATTTGACACATAATATAATATGGTTCTATGACACAATAAACCTAAAGACAAGGAGAAAAGACGCAGTCTCCTATCTAATTGATAATTAAGGAATAGGAGGGCAAGTCACTAAATGAATAACAAAACAGTTACATTTGAGTGGAGAATTCACTTTTTCTACCATCCGTCCTTTTTGAATCCCCTCTCTCTGTTGTCCAATGGACACACTCGTGTTTTGAGCCAGCGAGAAATGCAGTGGAAATGAGGAGTGGTTACAAAATCCCCATGCAAAGGTGCACTCTTTCAAGTGGCTAGCTTGACATTCTGTGCAAATATAATGTGGTTCTGGATGACGGCACAGTTATCAACGACAATATCCCAGCTGCACAAGACTACTGCATTCCATTTTTTCATTTCAAGCACTTCTTTCTGGCGCTGCTGTTGGTGCCACTCTGAGTATTCACATCCTTCGCTGCTGCCATTTTGGAAACACACTGGCGATTTCTTCAAGTAAAGATCTGTAGTCTAAGAAACTTGATAACTGGTCACCATGAATCAAATTCCACTCAAGAGCAATGAGCTCTCCTCTCTCTCTCTCTCTCTCTGTCTGTATCTCTCTCTCTCTCTCTATGTCTCTGTCTCTCTCTGTCTGTCTCTCTCTTTGGAAAAAGACCACATAACAACAACAACAATATATATTACATAAAATGAGCATACATTAGAATAAAAGATACATACTGAGAAGTATATAAATAATATATGAATATCATTCAAAGAATTACCACAGAAACATGAAATGACTATCACATAAAATATAATAAAGCATATTATTTGAAATAAAGAGGAATCTCTGATAATGATAAAAGGATTAATCCAGAAAAAAAAGTTAATTGCAAATATATATGCATGTTACACAGAGATCCAAATACTTGAAGCGAAAAATGACAATATTGAAGATAAAATTGAAACCAGTATCCTGAACCCTCCTCACAATCTCTGACTCAATTTCTTCTAAGATAAATTTTCTGTTTCTTTTAACAGTACATGATATATTTAATATTTTTCACTAACACAATTCTTAGGCATCAATTCTTCTTCAGTCTCAGTAAGTCCTCCTCCAATTTTTACATGCATATAAAGCAACTTAAAATGGCACAAACTGGGCTATGTGCATTTTAGTCATTAAAGTGATATCCTTACTCTTTTTTTTCCTATAATTATATTTTATTAATTTTCATAAACATTTACAGAGATTTTGGGTTTCCATTCATTCATTGTTGCACTATTCTCTCTACCCTCCTCCCAGTTTGTTCTTGTCCAAATGCCACAGTGCTTGTCAAAGCCAGTTCTGATTGATCTTCTTTGTCAGTGTGTCCTTTGCCATTCCCTATCACTCCTCTCTGAGAGAGACTTCACCCTGAGTCATAAGGGAAAGGGGATGGCGTATTCTCTTAGCTACTTCCTGCTGAAAAGGGACGCTGTGGGTTTCAGGGTGAAGATCTTCTCTCACTACTCTAAAGGGCCCCTTTGGCAGTAGGAAACACATAGACTATTATGGAGATTGATTTTGGAATTTAGATGCACTCTTATTGATTGTGCTTGGCTGTCCATGTACATATCCTTGAAGATGTATCATGGGGGTGTTGCAACCTAGAAGACACAAATTTGACTAACAAGTTATAAGTACATGAGTCAAAAATTATGGAAAAGTAAAAGAAAAGATTCTTTCATTGTTTTACAAACCCTCCCCCAGGTCCCCTCCACCATGTAGCCCTCGCTCTAGTCTCCTGTGATGACAGAAATACCTAGTTATATATCTCTTTTAAACAGTTTTCTCCCTCCTCTGTTTCAGTGCAGTATACATTATTGAACCCATCTTACTCAGTCTCTCCCCAACCCCAAGGACAGTCCCATTCTACAACAGTGGCATCATGTAATATCCTTACTCTTTAGAACTTCAGAGATTGTTTGCAAAAAAATGTTTATGTGTTAATAGCTTAAAATTATTACATTAGAAAAAGTAAAGATATGATATTATAAAATTAACCATTCACTTTAATATAAAATAAATATGAAACATGAAAAAGATTCAAATAATAAATATTAGAGAAGATAAGAATTGAGAATCAAAAATAAGAGAAAAATAACTACTAAAAATTGATTCAGTCAGTGAAAAGATCAACAAATTTGACATATCTTCTGTAAAACAGACCAAGAAAAAAAGGAAGCAACTTAATAATTTTGAATTAGATAAAAGGAAATATCTTCTAGAAATTTAAAGTATTAGAATACTGTAAATAAATTGCTATTATTGTTGTTGCACCATCAACTCAGAACCAACCCTTAGTTGACCCTTCACAGGGTTTTCAGAGTCTATTAATTGCACAGGGGGAGATTGTTCACATCCTTCTTCTAAGGACCAGCTGGTATATTTGAACCATGTGCAAATAAAATGTATAAAACAAATTAAACAACTTAAATAGTATATCAGGATAGGTGGAAGAGTCATCAACAGCCTGCATTATGCAGATGACACAACCCTGCTTGCTGAAACTGAGGAGGACCTGAAGCACTTGCTGCAGAAGGCCAAGGACTGCAGCCTCCTATATGGACTAAAGCTCAACATCAAGAATACAAAGATTCTCACCACTGGGCCAATTGGCAGCATCAGTATGGATGGTGTTAGTTTACTTGGCTCCACAGTCAACACTCACAGCAGCCAGGAAGTCAAGAGACAAATTGCATTGGGAATGTCAGCTGTCAGGGACCTCTCAAGAATACTCAAGAGCAATGACATCCAGCTGGAGACTAAGGTGCACCTGATCCGGGCTATAGTCTTTGCAATTACGTGCTATGCATCAGAGAGTAAGACAGTGAATAGGGATGATAGAAAGAGAATTGATGCCTTTGAGCTGTGGTGCAGGAGAAGAGTGTTGAATATACCATGGACTGCTAGGAAAACAAACAGGTTTGACCTGGAGAAAATGAAGCCAGAATGCTCCTTGGAGTCAAGGATTCTGAAGCTTCGTCTGACATACTTTGGGCATGCTATAAAGAGGGACTGGTCCTTGGAGAGGGACATCATGTTTGGCAGAGTGGAGGGGCTGTGAAGGAGAGGAAGACCTTCGACGAGATGGATCGATTCTGTGACTGGAGTGGTGGGAATAAGTGCATTTGAGATGGCTAGATTGGCACAGGATAAAATAGCGTTTAACGTTCTTGTATGCAGGATCCCTGTGAGTCACAAGCGATGCGATGGCACATAAAAATAACAGCAACGAAACAGTATAGATAAAGTCCTAGAAATTGGTAAACTAAATAAAGCTGACTTAGGGATAAAAATTTTAATAAACTTTAAAAGAAATAATGAAAATAAATCTGTCTACCAGACCTACATGGCTTCTCTGATAAATATACTAATCATTAAAGCAAAAAGAAAATAACAACAACAAAACTCCCTTTTGGAACAACGAGAGAATAACAAGAGAGAATGAGTCTCCTAAATTATTATAAAATTACAGTAATCAAGAAAATATGAAACTGACTTGATTATTGGAACACACAACAAAAGAATAGAATCCAAAAGTAGCTCCTTACACTTGTAGTCAACTGATACTTGACCAGGATGCCCAGTAATTCACAGTTTGGAGACAGGGTGGTTAATGGTATTTTGCAAATGACATCTGGACAACAGAATATTCACAAGTAACTTAATATCACAGCATATACAATAAATAACATGGGTAAAAGACTTGAAATTAAGAGATAAAATTAACAAATGTTGTAATGACATCTTAAGTGTACAATGCTGTGAAATTAGAAAACTTAACAACAAATTATATATATAGAATCTGACTTTAACAAATTTTTTTAAAAATCTGCTACAGAAGATACAATTAAGAAATTGAAAATTCAGCCCATAGAATGGGAAATAACATTCCCAAATAATAGATATTACTAGAAAATTGTGTTAAAAATACTACTTGTTATTTAATAACCAAAAGGCATATAATTTCATTAAAAAATGAAAAAATTACTTAAAAAAGACAATTATCCAAAGAAAACACATAAATGACCAATAAACACATTTATAAAGATTTTTAGTACCTCTAGTTATTAAGAGCTGAAAATAGGAATTACATTGATATACAGCTTTGCATCCATACTCATGGTTCCATAGTCCTCTTAAGATGGAAAGAATCACCTGGCTGCTAATTGAAAGGGTGGAGATTTGAATCTACTCAGAGATGCCTCAGGAGAAAGGTCTTGTGATATACCTTCAAAAAAATACGGTCACTTGAAACTATGTGGGAGTGTAATTCTCTTCTGCCACGTATGAGGTCATCATAAATTGATTCTTAAGAGTTATTGATATGATGCAAATTCCTTTCAATCAAAAGATAAGTGTGGCAGCAAACATTAAGTAATTGGAACTCATTTGTTGTTTTGATTCCCTTCAAGTTGAGTGCTACTCATAGTGACCCTATGAACATAAGGCCAGAAGTCTTTCTATAACTATCGACATTTATCGAAGTTCATGGAGTTTCTGGAAGCATGTTATTTAGGAAGTGGATATCACTCCTGCTTCCAAAATCAAGTAATAGGTAGGTCTATAGACCAGTAATAGCACTCCTTATAATCACCAATTATGTAAGGTGAAACAAACATTTGCCCAAGGATAATGCCCTGAAAGCAAGAAGGGTTAAGAAAGAAGGACTAGTTGTAAGTTGTTAAGTACCACCCAATCAAGTAGGACTCATAGTAACCCTATGAACAACAGTCTAGGGACTAAGAAATGCTTGATCCAGGCCATGTTGTTGTTGTTGTTGTTATGTGCCGTCTAGTCATTTGCGACTCATAGCGACCCTATGCACAAAAGCCCTAAACAGTGCTCTATCCTGTGCCAATCTCATTGCCTCTGACACACCCATCCTGTTTACCCCCATCACTGAATCAATCCACCTCATAGAGGGTCTTCCCCTCCTGCGCTGTCCCTCCACTCTGCCCAGCATGATGTCCCTCTCTAAAGACCTGTCTCTCCTTACAGCATGTCCAAAGTATGTCAGATGAAGCCCCAGAATCCTTGCCTCCAAGGAGCAGCCTGGTTTAACCCTCTCTCGGATGAATCTGTGTGTTTTCCTGGCAGTCCATGGTACATTCAATACTCTTCTCCAGCACCACAGCTCAAAGGCGTCAATTCTCCTTCTATCCTCCCTAGTCATTGTCCAACTCTCTGATGCATAACAAGTGATTGCAAAAGCCATGGCCTGTATCAGGCGCACCTTAGTCTCCAGAGAGACACCGTTGCTTTTAAGTACTTTAGAGAGGTCCCTAACTGCAGACTTTCCCATCGCAATACGTTTTTTGATTTCCTGGCTACTGGTGCTAAGAGTGTTGACCATGGAGCCGAGCAAACTGACGCTGTGAACAATCTCAATCTCTTCACCATCCATCCTGATGCTACCAATTGGTCCAGTGGAGAGAATTTTTGTCTTCTTGACATTGAGCCTCAGTCCATACTGAAAGCTGCAGTCCTTGACCCTCTGTAGTAAGTGCATGAGGTCCTCCTCAGTTTCAGCGAGCAGGGTTGTGTCATCTGCATAACGCAGATTGTTGATAGATCGTCCACCAATCTTAATGCCATGCTTCTCTTCATAGAGCCCAGCCTCTCGGATAATCTGCTCTGCATACAGGTTGAAAAGGTATGGAATTAGGACACCTCCCTGGCGTACACCCTTCCCAATTTTGAACCATGCAGTTTTGCCCTGCTCTCTTCTGACGACTGCCTCTTGGTCCAGGCCATAATTTTCTAAATTCCTTGCTATGCACTTAAGAGTTGTTCAATGACTAAGGAAAACAAAAAAGATTCAATGTCTTTGAGTTATTGTGCTAAAGAAAAGTCTTGGACATAACATGGACTGCTAAGAGAATAAATAATTCTATCCTGGAGAGGGTGAAACAAGTTTACTCCTTGAAGGTAAGGATTTTGAAGCTCCAACACACATATTTTGACCGTGTTGCCAGGAGGGATCAGCCATTGGAGAAGCTTATCATGCATGGAAGGATAAAATGTCAGTGCAGGTGAGGAAGACCCTAGATGAGGTGGACTGACTATGACAATGGGGTCAAGTGTGTCAGACATGATGAGATTAGCTCAAGAAAGATTCAGAGCCATTGTTCATATGGCTGCTAAGGGTCATAGCACATAACAAAAGCAAAAATCTCTCGTTTTAGTGATAAGTTTTGCTGTTAAGAACCAAAAGTTATGTATTATGAAACCACTAGTTGCTCCACACAAATTGATGAACAATCTCATCCCTTGTGATTAATTGCCTCTGAATATTCAGAGGCAATAAATTGGAAGGCCTGCTATGAGTCAGTTCAAACTGAATGGTATATAATCACAACAACATTATCCCAACAGGTTGCATAATAACAACAATTATGAGATTATTTAATTCATATCAGGGAGTTCTGGTGGCCTGTTGTTGTGTACTACCAAGTTGATTCCAAGTTGAGAGTACCTAACAATAATGCAATTTGGGGTTTTTTTTAAATTTTTTAATTAATTGTAATGAAAGTTTACAGAGACTTTGGATTTCCATTCATTCATTGTTGCATCTTTCTCCCTATCCCACTCCCATCCCCCAGTTCACTTTTCTCTTTGAAAAGTAAAAGAAAAATTCTTTCATTGTTATACAGTCCTTTCCCCGAGTCCACTCTACTATGCATCCTTCATTCTGGACTCCTGTCATGACAATAATACCTAATCATATATCCCTTTCAAACATTTCTCTCCCTTATTTTTTCAATGCAGTATACATAATTTTTCCCATCTTCTTCAGTCTCCCCCAACCCCAATGTCAGGTCCGTTTTACAACAGTGACACTGTGCAGTGTTTGTCTTTTGTGACTGAGATATTTCACTCAGCATTATGTCCTCCAGGGTCACTCATTTTGTATAACATTTCATAAGTTCCTTGTTTTTCAAACCAGCATAGTATTCCGTTGTATGATGATACCACAGCTTCTCTATCCATTTGTTTTTAGCTGGGCACTTAGGTTGTTTCCAACGCTTTGCTATTATGAACAAAGCCACGATAAACATGAATGTGTATATATCTGCTTGGGTGGTGGTTATTGTTTCTTTGGGGTATATTCCCAGTAGTGGAATTGCTGAGTCAAATGGTATTTCTATTTACAAGTTCTTGAGAAAGTGCAAAAACCAAGTCAAATTTTATCATGGACCTAGGAATAAAACCAAGGACTATAAACTGCTTTAAAGAAAAGCTTGGAAGAAACCTAGAAATCCCAATTCACAACATAAACAGTATCCCAAGTATCCTGAAAAATCTACAACCAGGAAAGTATAAAATAGATGAATGGGACCTTCTAAGAATCAAATCCCAATGCACATCCAAAAACTTCTCCAACAGGGTAAAAAGGGAAGACACAGACTGGGAAAAAGTATTTGATAATGACATGTCAGATAAGGGATTTATATCTTGAGCTCGAGAAGATAAACAACCCAATTTATGAATAGACACTTCACCAAAGAAGACTCAGATGGCAAACACATGAAGAAATGTTCAAAATCTCTAGCTCTGAGAGAGATGCAAATCAAAACAACTATGAGATATCAACTCACCCCAGTAAAAGTAGCAAAATTTAACAGAACAGTAAACAACAAATGCTGGCAAAGTTGTGGAGAAACTGGAACAACACAATTTGTATTATTCTTTTGGGCATCATTTCATAAATCTTAGCTTATGAGTTAATAAATATTATTATTACTTAAACGAACTATCAATCTATTTCACCATTTATTTTCCCATTAAAAAGTTAAAAAAAAATCCTTTGAAAATACAATTAACAGCTTTTATATTCATTAGTTGTAAACATTTTGTCTTACAATAAAGCATAAACTTAAATTGGCTCACAGCTACAATTTCAAAATAGAAATTATTTTAAAAAGATTGTACTAAAAATATTTAGTTGGCAAAGAATAAGTCCTCAGGAATTAATGGAATATCAACTGACAATCAAGAGACAAATTTTGCGCTGGACACGTATGCCAAGTTGTGCCAAGAACTACGGAGGACAATTACCTGGCCAACTAACAGGAAAAGATCCGTATTTGTTCTTAATCAAAAAAATGGTGAGCTGACAGAGTGTGGATATGATCCAAAAATATCACTGATATCACATGCAAGAAAAATTCTGCTAAAGATTATCCAAAACAGATGTTGCAGTCCATTGAGAGAACTGCTAGAAATACAGGCCGGGTTTAAAACTTTATCTTTGCATTTCAAAGAGAGGTGCAAACTGGGGGGAGGGGGGTAAAGAAAAAAAGTGCAACAATGAATGAATTTAAATCCAAAATCTCTGTAAATGTTCATTAAAATTAATAAAATTAAAAAAAAAAGATTCCATAGCAACAGAAACATTACTGAGAATGTCAGATGGATCTTGGCAGAAAGCAAAGAGTATCAGAGGAATGTCTATCTGTGTTTCATTGACTATGCAAATGTATTTGACTATGTTGATTATGGCTAATTGTAGCTAACATTGAGAAGAATGGGGATCCCAGAACTCTTGATTGTGCTTATGCAAACCCTATACTTGGATTAGGAAGCAGACATCAGAACAGAGTAAAAAATCCTGCTTGAGTCAAACCAGGAAAGCAATGCATCAGGGATGCATCTT